TTGGCAGCTGCTTTTCTATCTCAGGGGACCAACCCCAGTGTTCTGTTTGAGTTGACTTCGAAAAGTTCATGGAAAGTGGAATTAAAAGACAAATTCATTTTGGTGCAAAAAAAAAATGAAATCCATGCATAGTTTTTTTCATAATATGCATTGTACGTGAACTTTCTGAAGCCCTGTATGTGTCTGAATTACATATTGGGTGCAAATACTGCTAGTGTTGTGCATTCCAGGATTTGTGTTCTGTTTCTTTTTAACAGTCAGTCATTGGAACTTCAAAAGTGACCCTTGCACCTTGTAAAAATTCAAAAGCTCCAGAAGAGTCTAAAGTCAAATCAGAATTGCTCCCATTCTTCCTTCTATCTCTACCCTGACATAACACTTTGATGTATTTTCTTCAATATCCTTTTGTTTATACAAATGTACATATGCATGCATGTCTGGATGTGCATAGGCATCTTTTTATGTTAATCACATCATACCAAACACTGAATTTATTAAATGGCCCCCTTTTTCCCACTTGGCATATCATAGACATCTTTTGAACATAATACATTTTGTTGACCTCATCCTTTAAAGGTTTTTTTTGAGAGGCAGAGAGAGAGAGAGAGAGAGAGAGAGAAAGCAAGCATTCATCCACTGGTTTATTCTCCAAATGCCCTTCATGACCAGGTCTGTGCTGGGGCTGGAGCCAGGAGGCTGTAATATAATACAGGTCTCCTACAAGGGTGGCAGGGATCCAAGTCCTGGAGCCATCACCTGTTACCTCCTAGAGTCCACATTAGCATGAAGCTGGAATTGGATGCAGTACTCGAATCCAGGCTCTGACATGGGATGCAGGCTTCCCTAGTAGCACTGTAACTGCTGTACCCAACACCCCACACCAGTTATTTCAATTGAGTGCAATGATTTCATTGGAGGCTCCCAATCCCAGATGGAAGATGCTATGATCAACTCCCTTTCCTAAAGAAACTGAGGCTCAAATATGAACTTGCACAAGGTCACCCAACTGTAAGAATGGGGCTGGGGCTGGAGCCTAGGCTGGCTGATCACGTGGCATGACCTGGTGCAGTCAAAGCAGTTAGAAAAGATTTCTCAGGCAAAGTGACTTGGAGGATATGCTGATTGTCAGCCTGGGCGACCACAGCTTACTGGCCAGGGTCTGGGTGAAGCTTCCAGTCTGGGGATGAGAAGGCGCCCTCTGCTGGCTTTTTTCAGATTGACGATCACTGCAGGGCTCTTGCCTGCTTGCCTGGCTTGGTTCCCCTCCACTGAGCTGTGTGTTCTACATCCAGCCCAGCTGGGCTGTAGCATTCACTGCCCTGCAGATAGGCTCCTTGTGTTAGATGATACGGGCCACATGCCTCTTTCCAGATCTTGTCCGTAACGTGTTTGTCACCTTTCCGGGCACACTTACCTTTCGACGTCCCTGGCAAAGCCCTGGCGCCTCGGAGCCATCATGTTCTGATGTTTGTGCCTCTTGTAAAACAGGATTCTTTTTTCCTTTTTATCTCTAATTAGGGTGATTTGTGTGCCTGTTTTATGACACTCGTTCTGTTCTATTTTCTGTCTTGTTCATCTTGGGACCTCTCACAGTATGCAGCCACTAGCAATGCATTACATGCTCACAGTAATGACCAATCTGAATATTTCAGAGTCAAGAAAAATAAGCTCTTAAGATATATTGAAAATTTTTAAATTGGCAACTAGTCATTGTTCATATTTACAGTGTGACATTTCAAAACACCCATGCCACCTGTAATGATAAGATCAGGGTAATTGGCATCTGATGTTTATCTTTCCTTTGTGTTGGGAACGTTCAAAATCCTCTCTACTAACCATTTTGAAAGTCAATTAATTGCTGTCAGCCTTGGGCATCGCTGTGGCGTAGTGGGTAAAGCCACTGCCTGCAGTGCAGGCATCCCATATGGGCACCGATTCGAGTCCCGGCTGCTCCACTTCTGATCCAGCTCTCTGCTATGGCCTGGGAAAGCAGTGGAAGATGGTCCAAGTCCTTGGGCCCCTGCACCTGCGTGGGAGACCTAGAAGAAGCTCCTGGCTCTGGCTCCTGGCTTCAGATTGGCACAACTCCAGCTGCTGTGGCCATCTGGGGAGTGAACCAGCAGATGGAAGATATTTCTCTCTCTCTCTCTCTCTCTCTCTCTCTCTCTCTCTGCCTCTGCCTCTGCCTCTGCCTCTCTGTAACTCTGCCTTTCAAATAAATAAATAAATAAATTTCTTTTAAAAAAACCGCTGTCAGCCATAGTTATCTGTGCTGTAGAACACTAGAATTTATTCTTCCTGTCCAACTGACTTTCTGTACTTGTGAATCAATCCTCCCTCCATTCCTCCTTCCCTCACATACTGTCTGGATCCTGGTCACCACTATTCTATTATCCATGAGCAATATAAGCTTTGAAAGGAAATCTTGGACCTCAGATGGAGGAGTCAGCCCCAAATCTAACATACACGGTGGTTCTCAGGGGTCACTGCAGAGAGCCAGCTCTGGTGGGATGGTCCCGAGAGTGGACACGGTGTGAATTCCAGGAGAGAATCCCGTCGGTTGTCCACAGCAAAGAAGCACAGTTGTCCCGGGAAGCCCAGGGACAGCATCGAGGAGGGAAGGCTCCAAGGCTCTGCAGGACCCAGGGCTGGACTCCGAAGGTGCTGGAAAGGAGAGGGAAGAGGTCGACGAGACTTGGCCTGCGTATTGCAGGACCCTGTGATGGGGACACTGGGTTTAGAGAAAAGAGGGTAAGACGGAGCTGACTCCCTAATTTCCACCTCCGCCCACCCTCGGTATGGTGCACAGATGCAACGTTACAGGTAAACCTGTTTCTGGGGAGTTCGTTTTGATTAGTGTTTGAGAAAAATGCCTTGTTATTCTTTTAAAAATCACAAATCTTAGGAGCATGAGATGTTGATCAGAAATAGTAAACTATAAAACATTTTATTTTAGACTTGGGTCTTTTGGGGTCCCAGACTCAGACTAGCAGGGGTTATAAATTCACTCTGCTATAGGGATGCAGGGGAGGGGGCATTCCAGATGAGTCACACGGGCTTTAGGGAGAGGCTGGACATGCAGGAGGGGAAGTCGGGCCTGAGGGAGAATGGAGGAGCGGGACACAGGCCTGTGGCAGGGCCTTTCCCAGGGGGCCAGGGGAGACACCGTCCCCCCAGGTGCACATTGCACCTGGCCTGGCCTCGCAGGCCTGAGTGTGCCGTTCCTTTCTCAAGCCCCTCTGAGTCTGGTCTTCCCAGGAGAGGAAGCCCAATTGCTACTTTTTCTCATGTTTACACCACATACATCAGTTATTCAATAAGCATTTATTAGTCCCGTGTGCTGGGCTTGCTCTGAATGGCCTCCTTGCCTGGGTCACCTTCCTTCAAGTGCCTCCTGTCTTATCTCAGTTGTGCCTACAGTATGGATCTCAACGTGGATTGAGCCATCGGCTGTCATCTGGTTAAGGGGAGGGCTCCTGCCTGCCTTCCTTGGTCAGGGCCCATGACTTCCACTTGGGCATGCCAAGTGTGCTGGCTCGGGGAAGCACCTCTCACTGCCACTTGAAATCCCTGATTATTTCCCGACTTACTCCTGTATCAGAGTGCTGGCTATTTGAGAGGCTTGGGACTTATATTTATCTGTGGTGTGTTCCTCACGTCATTCCAGGCTGTTCTTATGCGATCCTTTTGGGTCCTCACGTGGACAAGGAGCGTATTTGTTCACACACATGATGTGATGGGTGGCTGTTGGCCCTCTGTAGCCCAGAGCAGGCCTTGTGGATGGTGGCTGGGAAGATGTACAGAGGTCCCAGCCAAGTTTTCCCCTTTATTCTCAATGTTAACCTTCTATGGGAAACTTTGCCTTTTAGTGAGCACAATGGTTGTACTATAGTATAAGCAGATTCTGGGCATTCTACCAGCAATGGTGGGAATGGTGCAAAGAGTTGCAAGCAAAGGCACTCAGTGAGCTCCTTGGGGGTTTAGATGAGGACAATCACTTCTTTTTAACTGACAAATTGAAATTGTATGTATTTATGGTATATAACATGTTTTGATATATGCATACCTTATACAGTGGTTGAATTGAGTTATTCAGCAAATGCATATCTCATAAATATATCTTCTTCTGTGGTGAGAGCTTTTGTTTTTTAAGATTTATTTATTTATTTGGAAGTCAGAGAATTAGAGAGAGAGAGAGAGAGAGGTTCTCCATCTGCTGCTTCACTCCCCACCAGGTGTCCACAATGGCCAGGGATGGGCCAGGCCAAAGCCAGGAGCCAGGAGCTTCATCCTGGTCTTTCATGTATGTGACAGGAGCCCAAACACTTGGGCCATTTTCCGCTGCTTTTCCCAAACCATTAGCAGGGAGCTGGATCAGAAGTGGAGCAGCTGAGACAAGTCCTGGGGCTCCTGCCAACCGTGTGGGAGACCTGGAGGGAGCTCTTGACTCCTGGCTTTGGCCTGGGCCTGCCTCAGCCATTGCAGCCATTTGGGGAGTGAAGTAACGGATGGAAGATCTTTCTCTCTCTTCCTCTCTGCAACTCTACCTTTCAAATAAGTAAGTAAATATTTTATTTAAAAAAAGAGAAGAGTTTGATTTTAAGTGACAATGACTTTTTGAGAAGACGTCGACCTAACCTCAATGCAATGTGTGATTTCAAAAATGGCTGCCTCCAGTTGTGTTTGTGTTGTTTTTTTTCAAAGGTTCTTTTATTTATTTTCACCTACTTGAAAGGCAGAATGCATGCATTCATGTGCAAGAGAGAGGGAGAGAGAGATATACACACACAAAAACACACACTGGGATATATCTTTCATCTGCTGGTTCTCTCCCCAAATGCCTGCAAGAGTCTAGAGTAGACTAGGCTGGAGCCACGAGCCAGGAGCTCCAATCATGCCTCCCATATGGTGGCAGGGCCAAGTTCATGAGCCACCACCTGCCCCCAGCAGGTGCATTAGCAGAAACCTGGGTCAGAAGCCAAGGCGGGACTCAATCCTGGGCATTCTGATACAGGACGCGTGTGCCTCAAGTGGCAGTGTAACCATCTGTGCTACAATGCACGCCCTGTCTGTGTTGTTTTAGTTCAGTACAAGTTTCAATTAATGTTTTATCTGAGCAGATTCTTAACCATTACTAAAAAGAGAAACTTTCTTAGATTCCAGGAAAGCAAAAAAAAGATCTTGGTCCCATAATTCACAGATCCTCTCTGTCTCTGCTCCTGGGCTTTTGGGAAGGTATTAATAATCGGGCAGCAACAGCCTGTCAGACCACTGTGCCTTATTGTGCCAGGGCCTGGCAGAGCAGAAGGGACACCCAGCAAAGGTAAATCAGGTGGTGACACGAACCCGGGCAGACACAGCTGGGGCTCAGTTTCCCCGGTGGCTTCTTTGTCCACAGTGTTGTGAGAATCAAATGGCATAGACAGCAACCTACTGTTCAGAAGTCCAGGATTATTATTTAGAGAAAGCAGAGTCACCTCACTTAGTCCGCTCCCTCATATATGGTTAACACCTTCGTTCACAAGAGACTGGCAACTGGCAAGGCAAAATTGTAGTGTTTGAACACAGGAAGAAGCGCCCAGACGAATATATTTGCGTTGTCAGAATCTGAATGTTGGCAGGTAGCCTCGGTGGGATTTCACCCAGACAGGGAGAAAGAACCCTGGAGCCAGGACAACGCCAGCCTTGCAGTGTCCCTTCCTCCTGCCCAAACTGACTCCACTGCGTCCCCTTCCCTTTGAACTTCGTCACTGCTACTCCCTGAAACGCCTACGCAAACCTTCACCAACCCAGAGGGCTCCAGAGAGGAGGGGCACGTTGAAAGGGGCCAAGGCAGGGGTCAATGAGCGCAGAGACGTGGGAGCTGCAGCCAAGGCTGGGAAAATGATTGGAGTGGTACGAGAGGCTCATCCTGAGGCCGCTGGTGCCCTTGTTTCTATTCAATCTCTGTTTCCTCATACGGCATGAACTGATTGTCTGTCCTCATATCTCATTCTCTTCAACTGGATAGAGCCCGGGAGTCCAGGAGGAAAGCATATATCCAATTTAAACTGTGAAAGGTATAATTTAAGTGTGTTTCTCCTCCTTTCTCTAACTTCGGGGCAGCTGGAAGAAAAGTGGGACAGATTCAACAATAAATATACTCACAAAGTAAATGCCTTCATCACAACACATATCATATTTTGACAAGTTTTGTAGGCCTCAGGCGGCCAGATAGTGTAAGGGTCTCGTTTGTCATTCTATTGGCTTTAATTAGGCCCACAAGTTGACAATTTATTGCTATTATCAGTGTTATTTTTTTTTAAAGTCAATATGCTTAACAGTTAAATTTGTCCAAACTCACCCAGCTCAACTTCACAAATTTTAAGGGAAGATACAGGCATATATTTTTGTGACAGTTCCTAGTACCAAGTCAACAGTGAGGGCATAATAAGATATAGTAGAGCAATAACATTTAAAATGTTCTTTATGGAGTGACACTTTTCAGAAATTCATGAAACATTTGGAAATGAACCAAAAATGTTCAGACTGTGGGCAACTGAACTCTTTCTCAGAATGAGGCATTTCAGCGTAAATAGGTGGGTGTGAATGAGCGTACCACAAAATCTCTGTCATTTGTCCTGTTTATAAAGGGGCTAGGCATTGTCTGCTAGTTATTTCAATGAATATCCTTGACATTTGCTTGCATTGCTGATTTCGTCCCCAGTCTGTGTGGCAGAGATGGTACCTTAATCTCACCAACAGAAGAGGCAGAGATCAAACAGGGGAAAACCATGCCAGTCTTCAGACCCTTTCTGTTTACCCAGAACTCTTAATTTTATACTTGGAGAGGTCTATAGGAGCGATCTAGAACCTGCAGACATTGTTGATACATTTAATGGGGCTCTTTTTGGCCAGGGACATACCTGGCCTTCTGCACAACTCTGGGTTCCCAAAGACAACTCATGCAGAATAGGCATGGAAGGACGTGAGTGAGTCTTTGAAGACATCATAATGATGTGTGCAGTACCCCTGCCACACTGTGCCACCCATCAGAGTTGGCCTATGGACTTACAGTCATTACATTTTCATTTGGTCCCAGTGATGTAGCTGGCTGGACTCCTTGCTTGGGGAAGATGTTAGAAAAGACAATCAGTCAGCAGCTGTTTCTGCTGCCCTCACCTCTTGAAACTTTGTTTTGTTCTTCCTTTGAGTTCTCCTTCTTTGTGTGTTTTCTGGGGGACTCCTTTCATTCTTATTCCTTATGCATGGAGGCTCTTTGGGTGCATGGACTTGGCATGTGACCCCTTAACATCGGTAGTGTGTTCCCAGCTGGGGCTGTCAAGCATACTAACCTGAAAACAAGTATTCCAAGGCTATCTGCAGTAAGCAATGTCCCCAACAATGATGGTTCATGCTGAGCCAGCACAGTGCATAATCCCTATTTTTTTTAAGATTTATTTATTTATTTGAAAGGCAGAGTTACAGAGAAAGAGAGGGAGAGACAGAAATCTTCCATCTGCTGGTTCACTCCCCAAATGCTGCAACAGATAGGGCTGGGCCTGAATGAAGCTAGGAACCAGGAGCTTCGTCTGGATCTCCCACATGGGTTCAAGAGCCCAAGGACTTGGGCCATCTTCTGCTGCATTCCCAGGCACAGTAGCAGGGAGCTGTATCAGAACTAGCATAAATGGGAATTGAACCGGCACCCATATGGGATGCTGGCATCACAGACAATGACTTAACCCACTGTGTTACAATGCCAGGCCCTATAATTGCAATTTTAAAAGGGCATCATGGTGAGCCATGAATTATATGATTAGGAGATAATCTGGAACATAAAATATCCTCAGATACTTTGAAGAATAATTCAAGGCCGGCGCTGCGGCTCAGTAGGCTAATCCTCCGCCCTGCGGCGCCGGCACACCGGGTTCTAGTCCTGGTCGGGGCGCCGGATTCTGTCCTGGTTGCCCCTCTTCCAGGCCAGCTCTCTGCTGTGGCCAGGGAGTGCAGTGGAGGATGGCCCAAGTGCTTGGGCCCTGCACCCCATGGGAGACCAGGAGAAGCACCTGGCTCCTGCCTTCGGATAGGCGTGGTGTGCTGGTCGCAGCCTGCTGGCCGCAGCGGCCATTGGAGAGTGAACCAACGGCAAAGGAAGACCTTTCTCTCTGTCTCTCTCTCTCTCACTGTCCACTCTGCCCGTCAAAAAAAAAAAAAAGAATTCAACTTACTGTTTTACGTTCACATTTTCATATTAGCATAGCCAACACAGAGAGCAAGAAAGACATCTGTTAGGCATCTCCTGTATAAGGGATCATCTGGTTATTAACAGAGATGACAGGTGACTATGCAGAGAGTGACTCTCTGTGTGAATGTTTGGAGATGTTTGCTTGCTTTCCAGAGGGGCCAAATAAGAGCTACAGGTCTCTTGTCCTGAGCAGGTGTCTATATTTATGTCCTTTTCTGTAATAGAGAGAATAAGCAACAAAAATATTTACCATCTGCTCCTTTTGGAACTGCAGAGCCTGGATGGGTCTATGCTCCTCTGATTCAAGAGAAACCCTGGCCAGAGTCCTTCTCAGCAGCTGCCACGCGTGGGACCAGCCACGTGTCTGTCAGCTCCGAAGTCTGGTTGGGACAGCAGGCCAGAGAAAGAGGATTTCTTCACAGCTGCTTGATTTTTCATCCATAGATAAGACCTGCAGGAAATTAGTTCTATCAGTGACCAAGGAAGATGTGCACAGCTCACTGTTCAGCTGACGTCACCAGTCGCATCATGGGGAGATGTCAAGTCTCCTGTGTGGCTCAGCATGGCCAGCAGTGGCCCTAGTTCCTCCTCCCTGGGTTAAGAGAAGCAGTGATTTTCCCACCAGTGTCTTGACACTGGAGAAGATTTAAAACAAATCCCGACATTTGATTCCCATGTAGATCCATTAAAATCAGATATGCCTGGGTGGGGCATGGGTGTTTGATAATTTTAGCAAGTGCTCTAGATGATTCTAACGTACAGGCCTGAGAGCTACAGCACTGCTCCATTGGTATCTTCTGAGAAGCAGAAATGTGTTTTGGCTGGGGGAACGTATGCCATCATGGTAACTCATCAGAAGCATGCACACCTTTGCTGGGCGCACCCCACAGGCAATGAGCATGAGGCGTGTCAGAGAGCCTGGAACACCAAAGTGGAAGTGGGGGGTAAGGACCAGGAAGATCGGGAAACAGAGGAAGAAAGGCACACGGAGGCAAAATTCACTTATTTCACCAGGCTCACTCAATTACCAGAACAGGAGGTGGAGGGCGCAGCAGGCAGAAAGGGGAACCAACTTGGGGTGTCCTGCTGTGGAAGTGAGATGATCTGATTCACTGCGGGAGTGGAAAGGACTCCAGCAAATGGTTGCCCTCCGGTGTATTTGGCGGTGGGTATACCATTCAGGAAGACCACCCAGGATGGTTTTGGTTTTCAAGGAGATCAGCAGTAAATAATTACTCTACTGCGGTTCAGTAGCAAGAAAAATATATATTTTTTCCTTACCTGAAAGGAAGGCTTGATAAAATTCCCTTTTGGCATCTGGTCCATTTTGCAGTTCTGTGTGGTTAATGAGTACTATGAGGTACTCTATGAGTACTTCGATGCAGGCTGGCGATTTGTTTCACAAAATACAGGAGTGCGCCATGGTCACGGGCGAGATGAGGTCTCTGCAGAACCTGCCATTGGCTGGAAAATCACACAGCAATCAATAATCACACAGCTGCAGCACGGAGCAGAAAGTGAAAGTGAACGGAACTTCCGTTCTCCAAGAAGAGCTTCCGGAAATCAGGACTGTGCACTTCAGCAGCATGGTTGTTGGTAGACAGATTTTCTTTCCTCTGATATTAACAAACGTAGCTGTTTGTTTCAACTTAGTTTTATCTATTTATCTTGCTGAAAATAATGGCTAGGCCAATGAAAAGAGTGATTTAAATGTGTATTGTTTAAAAAATTTCTGTCTCTGAAATTGAGTTCATAAAACAGACTTTTATTTATTATTTATTACTTATTTTATTTATTATTTTATTATTTTTTAAAGATTTATTTATTTGAAAGGCAGAGCTACAGAGAGGCAGAGGCAGAGAGAGAGAGAGAGAGAGAGAGGGAGAGAGGTCTTCCATCCACTGGCTCACTCCCCAAATGGTCACAATGGCCAGAGCTGTGCTGATCTGAAGCCAGGAGCCAGGAGCATCTTCTGGTCCTCCCACGTGGGTGCAGGGTCCCAAGGATTTGAGCCATCTTCCACTGCTTTCCCAGGCCATAGCAGAGAGCTGGATCAGAAGTGAAGCAGCCAGGACTTGAACCTTTACCCATATGGGATGCCGAAACTGCAGGCGGTGACTTTACCTGCTACACCACAGGGCTGACCCCCGGGTCTTTTATTAAAGGAAGTAAGGCTGCTCTCCTGGGCCTTATCCCTCATCCCTCATCCCTCCATGTTGGGGAACCATCATTTCCCAAAGCTGGGCCATCTCCGTTTTATTGGCTTTGCCCAGTGGTAGCATTTCTTGGATCCCTGAATGCTTGACCTGACCCACAGAGAATGGCAGGTGTCATGGAGTTCCGTGCTCTGGCCTTCGACTGGATACATCCCTATCACTCAGCCTTTATAGCAAGTGCCTCTGAGGAACAACCCTGGGCTGACGATGTCCCTGGGTCACAGCAGGGAGAGAGCTGGGTAACTATCTCACAGAAGTTCTCCTCAAAGCCTGCCTTGACCTACTTTATTTCAAAAACACGTTTCCTCACTTCCATTTAAAAGCTCAGAATTCCAGCAATGTTGAACGGGTGGAAATAACAGGCTTGCCTGGGCCTGTTAGATCAACTTCTGCTTGGCTCCCAGGAGGGGACCGTTTCTCTTGCTGGGGTGCTCTGCCCAGTGTTGGGGAGTTGGGAAGCCCTCTCCAGGAAAACATGCATGATACTCAGTCTAAGAGGAGCCCACGCACTCCCAAAGTCCTCCGTGCTCCAGGGATCTCTCGACCCGGATTCACAAAATACCCGGCACCCAGAACTCCCTGTGGCATGCCTGCAGGTCGAGTCCTTGGCTGAGACACCCCAGGGTGTGCCCATTTGTTTGGTTTCACTTCTCCCTTCTTGCCCCACATGCCTGCTTCGTTTTCCATGCACCCATGGAGGTGCAGCCCTCTTGGGCTAATGTTCGAAGCCTGAGTTGTTCTTCCTTTAATCTCCAAAGCATAACACTACCAGGGCAGTGGTGTTTAAAATACCTTGCTGATGATTTGAGGTTAATATAAGGGGGTGAGCGTGCAGGAAAGCAAAACTTAAAAATTGGGTGCCATGGTTCATTACTTACAATCCCTAGGGCTTCTCCTGGTTGTCTCCCTCCTTAGCTCTCATGGGCAACCATTCTGCTGGGCCCAACTCTGTTTAAGGTCCGCTTGGTCTTCTCTTTTTCCTGAGTCCAGGGGCCCAAGTAGCCCTCTGTCCTTCTCCCCACTTCCCTTATAAGGATTTCTCAAATATATTATTCATGATGAAGATAGCCTTTTATTTTAATAACGTGAAAATTTAATATTGCAGTTTAAACCATTTCCAACTGGAATACTTCCCCAAGTCCAGGGCCAGCACAAGGACAACCAATAGGTACTCGACCTTAACCTTTCTGAGTAAGATTACCTGTGGAGGTGAAGTGAAGAGACGTTCCCAGGGGCAAATGCACTGTCTACCAGAGAGGCACGGGGCATTTCTTCCCAGGGCTGTAACCAAAAGTAGCAATTTATTCCCAATTCAGGTTGTCAAGAGTTTATAGGTATTGAGGCCTACTCACAAAGCCTGCCCCATGCCAATTTTAAATGTGTGCCAGCAGTGGGTGTGAGAATGCACGCATATAGGTTGTGAGGGAAAATATAGATGCCATGCTATAGTGCTGAAATGTAGAGCCCACATTATTTAAGATTTCTTACATCATAAGCAAAACTTAGCCTGGTATTACATTCAAATGAAAAGAATCTCTTCATCTGATTCGAAATTTTCAAATGTTTTTGAAATATTTTTAGTATTTTGAATATTTTAATATTTCAAATATTTTTAGTATTTACCACCCTTGGTGGTAGTTGAGCCCCATGAAATTAGGACTAGGGCAAGTCAACTTTTTCAGTATTCAGTATCCTACACTCAGTATGAAGAATGCATGTTCATCTCTCAAAGTCTTCTGTTCTCCAAGAAACTTAACCTCATGTTGTCACATGGTTTTAGCACAAGGCTTAGGGTTTTTTAATACCTTGATCATTAACTAAGAAAATGGAAATAGGCCTAATTAGGCTTTGAGGATAATCAGAATCTTAAAGTTGAGGTCAGCTACTCCAACCTGTAGTTTATTAATATTCTTTTCATGCTGTGCTTGAGAACATAGACATGCTTTGTTAAAAACTTTAAAGATCCTTTTACAGAATTCCATCATAATCCGCAAGTCAGGAACTTTCTGAAGTACTCTTACCCGTTACTAGAAGTCGTAAGTCGAATTGTCTTACAACAGGGATTATCTGTATAGGTGGAAGTTTTAATCTCTGTAAAGTTTAGTCTATTTCCAGGGGGTAATCCTTCAGGAATCCCCACTGGAAACTGGAATGTTTTCTAGGAATGCTCAACTTGGACAGGTATTCAGTCGCATCTGGTATTTCCCAAACACTGTAAAGATGCCAACGTCTCTGCTTAATGTCTTTGCTTTTGTAAGCTTTTTTCTGTTTGTTTGTTTGTTTATTTATTTAATGAATAAATGTATTTGAGAAATATAGAGATGGAGAGAGAGAGAGACAGAGTTTCCATCTGCTGGTTTGCTCGCCAAATGCCTTTACGGGCCAGAATTGGGCCCAGCTGAAGCCCAGAGCCAGGAACTCAATCCAGGTCTCCCACGTGGATGGCAGGAACCAATTACTTGAGTCATCCCAGAGTCTTCAATAATAGGAAGCCAGAGTCAGGAGCTGGGGCTGGGGTGCAAACCAGGGTACTCCTACGTGGAATGCTGGCGTCTCAGCGGCAACACCGAATGCCCGTCCCCCTTTTGTTTTCTGCGTCTCAATTTCTCCATGTTTGTAGGCCCTCATATCTTATAAAACATTTTCTTGATTGTTCAAGTTGCTTAAACTGTTGTTTTTGGCTTTCTGCACTTTCCTTCACCCTAGCGGGGAAGGGGGGATGTCCATCCTGTGGACCACACAAGGCTCATGGAATCGTGTGGTCTGGCCCTGCCAAGGGAACTGGAGGCAGGACTTGGAATTCATGAAATCTACAGCAGGCTGATTTTTAAGTTGATAATTTTGTATGGCCTGCAAATGATGTTATAAGTATCCAAATAGGGGCTGGTGTTGGGTGTAGCAGGTAAAGCCACTGCCTGTGATGCTCTTTGCTACCCCGGACTCCATTAGGAAGAAGGCCACAGATGTGGCCCCTAGACTTTGTACCTCCAGAACTGTGAGTCCTAATCATCCTCTTATGTTTATAAAGTTAGCTAGCCTCAGGCACTGCGTGAGACAAGTGGCTGAGAGTTCTCCCTCCGTCCTCACTCACGTCCCTGCAGCTAGCATTTCCCTTCTGCAGTGTCTGTCTACCTGCGCAGTTTGCTCCCTGCTGTCTTTGTTAGGTATCACTGGGCTATGCTGCAGTAACACACTAGGCCCTGAAATCTCCATGCCTTAACAGCATCACAGTTTGTTCTTTGTGAGGCCAAGTTCACTGGCAATTGGCTGGCTCTCCAGAATAGTGTTCCTCTGTGCAGCAGCTTGTCTTGCAACTCTGCTACCTCTTCATGTGGCCTCCTTGATGGCTGCAGCACCAGGAGGCACCTGGAGGGTCGCTATCCAGCTATTATGGGTGTCCACCAGGAAGGGGAATTTTTGCTCCAAGCCCACTGACCAGGTCCAGACCCCTGGGGTCTGGGAACTGTAGTCATGACAGACCCCACTGCAGGTTCCTGCTCCCAGCTTGTCTTGACCTATGTTAGTCCTAGTTTGATAGATCAACTGGAGTTGGTCTGTTGTATGTTACCCAACAGCTAAGCTCCTTTTCCTTTTCCTCTCTCCCTCTCCTCCCTTTCACTATCACACCCTCCTTCCCATTTTCAGGCTTTGTCTGATGCAGTAATCACTTCCCATTCACCAAGGCACAGTCCACTTTGGGACATGCATGCAGTGGAGTCAGTTAAGTCTGTATTGTATGGCCAACCTCAACAGGTGAGCCCAGATGAGTAGTATCACCTTTGAAACACCTGTTACCTGAAACCAATGGTGCTTGCATTTGAACATGCAGTGCAATCACGCAGGGTCCTTACCCACACACAGCATCCTGACTCATGGGGCCGCAGAGGTCATTCTCCCCAGAGATTCCTTGGCCAGGCTGATTCTGCCCCTCTGAGAGCCTCTGTGAGCATCACAGAGTTAAAGGGAAACCTGCATCTGGAAGGAGGGTGCTGCTGTTCCCCTGGCTCATTATTGTCTGGAATCCCACATTCTGTGTGTTGTGGTGTGACGGGGAGAGAACATATGACGGCGTTTTGATGGGCATTGAGGGAACAGAGGTATGTGCTGTTTGCTCTGAAAGGCTGCAGGTGGAGTTTTGCAGTCAGCTCCAGCAGGTGCCAGGGGTTGCAGCACACGACTCTCCCTCTTCCTCCTGGGCTGCCTGCCTGTGGCAATGGGAATGCTTCCTTGGGGCTGATGCGAGGGTGCACGTTTTCAGGATTTGCACTTTGGTTTGATGGCCAGGT